TGTCCAATGCATTACTAAAATCCCTCTACTACCACATCTATTGCATTTTCTTTATCCACTAGTTTTGTCATTCACTCCAAGAGTTCCAGATTGCCCTGCATGATTTGAAAAAATATTTTTTGTTTCATAGTCTGAAAAAAAGAAAAATGTTTCAAAACTGATGTCTTTGTGCAGTGACTTCATGTCATAACATTTTTACCATGAAGATTCTCCTGTGTGTAATATTTTTAGAATACATTTTAAACTCTTGATGCTAATGTGACATACAAGTTTCCAACCTTTATAATTCCCTGTTACAAAAAAGGATGATTTAAGCTATATATTCCACTTTGATTTATAGAGTGTCAAAAAACAAAGTCCCATAGGGCTACTTCCTTTCTTGGGGCTTCTGTTACTTTCTTCACTACTCTGAGGTTCAAGATCAAGCACAAATCTTTAACTCAATATATAGGCCATATGTGGGGGAAGGGGTGGTGGGAGAAGAAATAAGAGGATATCTGATCCTTTAATCATAGGTCACTGATCTGAATTGCAGATTGAATACAAAGTTTTATTCTTTGATCATGAATCTGACCTGGAAATCAGCAGCTTCTACCACTGTCTATAAGATATTCAATTAGGCTACTTGTAGATGTTAAAAAAATGCTTTAAACTCAGTGTGCTCCCGCACCAAGCCCAGCGCATGCCCAGACAAAGCAGTGCTTCAGTTGGACCCAGCTTTCCCAACGCCTGTAGAAATGGGGCACTTTACTGGGGCTTTGTTGGCACTTTTAGCTAATAGCTGATTCAATCAGCTATTAGCTAAAAGTGCCAAAAAGCCTTGCTGAAGAACCAAATCCACACAGACGCTGCAAAGCCAGGTCACAGTAATGCGCTGGCTCTTTTGGTAAAGCGCTTTCTTTTTTAACGTGGGCAAGCAGCCTGAGACTGGTGGATGAAGAACTTAATTGTCCACAAAGCTAAAAAGACAAAATTGAAGACTCAAAATTTCCCTTTTTGTCAAGATTTGTGTTGTTTCTCTTCTCATCTTTCCACCAAGTTTTCTGTACGGTGTACAATCTTTTGTTGGTTTTTTGCATGCACATCTTCAAATCTTTTTCCTCATTCACTCTGTATCCTGTGTTCCTTATGAATCCAGCCACAAAGTCTGTGATCTTCCCATGCAGAATCATCTCTTAAAGACTTTGAGTTATACATTGCATACAATGCATCAGGACCTTGGACAAATTCACTTCACTGTGACACTCTTTCCCCTCCCACTGTCTTATATACCTAGACTATCAGACTTTCTTAAATTACAACTTTCTTCATTAGAAACCACACTGTGGGCATTTGGGAAGGTCCACTTATAGGCAAAGAACAAATGCATCAAATAAGGATAAGCAATATACTTTCCAGCCCCTTGAAGATTCCATATTTTTCTAGACAATTTGTGAGACTGAATCTTACAAACGATTTTCACTTTTTTTCCCCCTGAAACTGATACAAACCTCATCTATGCATGATTATATATAAAAAGTGCATATTATTCTTATAGAACTGTTAAACCCAGGAAGAACTTCAAACAAAAGTAATTTCCTTGAAGACCAACTTAACAACTCAGGCATTTCTATAAGATGAGCTATTGAGACGGTTAATGCACTTGAAACATTTCAGACATTCATAACTTATTGGTTGGGTTTACACTATGCCACATTACATTAGTGTCAATGAATACCCAAAGTTAGAGAAGCATTTTTGTCCATTTCTGAATGCTACTTTCAAAAATATAAAAGGAATAAGACAACAATTTGGATAATTTTCTTTATAATAAGCAAAGTCTATCCTACAAAAACATGAAATAGATGACCAATCTTACTGATAATGCCCAGGCTGAAATGTCTTCATTTTACTCAAAGTAGCAGTTCAGATCTGAAACGGATTGGATACTTGTTGTTTATTTTATATTGAGCTAAATGGTTTCATAATCCGTCATGAAAGCAAATAACTAATTGCTAAGAACCCCTGAGTAAACCAATCCCCAAAATAAATCAGCATCTATGTAGCCTGAGCCCTATTCATTTTTCTGTTCTTACTTACAACAGATTCAGGACCACACTATCTAAGATGTAGCCTCCAAATGTAAATGGGAGTTAAAGAACAGAGACCTGTAGAAATCTCATTTGATATATTTATGTATGATTACCATCAGTCTTTAAACTACTATGTAAAAAAATTAGTCAGTTTTACATCTTCTTCAGCATTTGGAGACACAAACAGATAGACAGGGCTACCGTAGGTTTTCCAGTTTTCCACTAAATTCTGAAGATGACTCCTCTGATGGAAAACATCACCATGGGTTTTGATGGGTTTTTGCATTAAAACACACATTTTCAAATCAGATATTTCACAGCAAGTAAGTACATTCCTGATGGCAAATAATGGTTTCTTTTAAGAGCATGGCAGTTTTGTCACTGATGGTACGTGGCTTTAGTACTTTGGGAGAGGAAAGGCAGCTAAGTCTATTTGAAACAGTCCCTCAGCAATTTAATTTTTTCTTAACACCAGATCTCTGCTCTCTTCTCTCTATAACTTGGAGCCTTTGCAGTCTGGGAAAATCTCTAAATGTTTGCTACTGTTTTGGATTCAGGACTTACAGATTCTCTATTTCTGAAAAATAGTTAGTTATAAGACTATTATACAGGATAATTAAGTCAAATTAAGTTAAATTTTTAGGTTTTGAAAAATGAGGTTTTTTTATTGTGACCACAATCTGACCACAATTTCTGCCTATGTAGTATGAGCTCAGTTTTCTCTCCTGCCCGTAGCAGGGGGTTGGACTAGAAGATTTACAAGGTCTCGTCCAATCCTACATCTATGAATCTATGATTTTGCCCAACTTGGAGGACAATCATTTTGTTTTTGGCAATAAATGATTAAATGTACCTTTATATTTTAAAAATTAACTCATGGTTAATAATCCGAGGTACTGTTTGCAACACAGATAAAGAAATGTGGTTCATTGTATAAATGCTGTTTTTACTGCCTGAGGACACCATGGCTGGTCTGCCATGAGGGGATCACTCCATTGTAGGGTCTTTGGTGACATAGAAGAGTATACAGAAGGCAAGGCTGCAGAATCATTATGCTATGCAGATGTCCGTGTACTCTTTGACACCTCTAAGGTTGGTGGTGGCAAGTGTAAATTAGGTTGACAGAACTGTACTCAGTTACGGTCTGGGTACAGGCCAGTGCGCAGTAAAACAAAGTTATGAAGGCACAAAGGGCATCCCTACAACTTCCTACCCAGCTGTGAGAGGACTTGAAACAATTTTAACCTGACAGTGAATTAGCCACCAATTAGCTCTGTTTGAAAACCTAATTTTTTGTTTGTAATTAATGTAAAGGAATCTGGTCCTAGAATGAAGACCTCAATATTAAATTCATCCTGGAAAGCTTCGGGGCCATGGAAAGTCTGAAGGCTACAGAAATGAATCCAAGGACTGACAGTATGAATATACAGAAAATACAAACCAGAAACACATGCTACCTATTAAGAACAGAAATCTATCCTGGCCCCCCTTGTACACAGGTACCATACCTATAGATGTGGACAATTCATATAAAGTGATACCTCTCTTTCTAATGTCACTGTTTCTAGAAAGAAAGTCAGAATCAGTCAGGATTTCTATCAATGCTGTCTAGTTCTGAAGAGGGCATTCACCTGTGTGTCTAAAGACACAACAAAGTTAGAATCTCATCTTGCTTCAAAACATCATGTTTTGATGATCATGCAGATACCCGTCCAAGTATGAAAACTGTCTGAACAATAGCTGAGAAATATACACTGCATTACCCATCTCCAAAACATACAGCTGTGATCTGCATATAGCAGGATGGATGAGAAGATAACAGTAGAACTAGTCTGTTCACCCAGGCACCCAACCTGGCTGGTGGAACAAGTGTTAGATACATAGCTGCAGTGACACAGTTGCCAACCCAAGAAATTTTTTTTACTCACAATATGCAAACATTTTACTGACAAACTTTTTCTGACATGTTTTTACTGTCAATAAAAAAAAAATATTGAATTGGCAACTTTGTGCAACTGCAGCAATGTTTTTACACCCTGCTGCACCCACCAAAGTTCACTGCAAGGCTCCAAACAGCACTCCCGCTTAGATACCAGGTGGTGCTGCTCTCTCTCTCTGTCCAGCATCAACAGTTGCCTGGAATGTAGTTTCATTCCAACAGGGATCTTAAAACAAGTTCAGTGTTTCAGTTTTTTATGTATGGCTTAATTTTTCTTCAGACTTCACAAACAGGCATTTTTAGGCTGGATTTTGATGGACCATCTGTAAATTTATGGACAGTTGGCAACCCTGACTGGAAGCTTGCTTTTTGCTACCTCTGCCTTTCCAGAAGTTGAGAGAGGGCCTTTGGCTGCTCCCAGAAAGAAGAAAGGCCCAGGCAGTGAGAATAGGGACCACGTCTACTGTGTCACCTTTCTGGAAAGGAAAAGCCAGGTTCCCCCTAATGCTACCTCTTCTAAAGAGGAAGCAAAGTGTGGAACCATCACATGGGGACAACAGCATATGGAACACACTCAACTATGGGGTGCATAAAAAAACTACAACTGCTTTCATCTGGGCTTTTCTGGAGAGCTGTTTTTGTAGCCATTCTAGCGTAGAATCCTATGTAAAACAACAGAGGGTAGTAGAATTGGGTGGGTGCCAAAAAAGGAAAAGAAAAGAAAAGCCATTTCTGTGGGGATGGTCCAATCTAATTAAGAGAATACCACCAAATGTGAATAATTTCAGAATTTAACAACATGAGCGGCACCAGTAAAGATGCTAATTAGCAATAATACTTGGTACTTGTAAATGAGTTTTTTCTTTCCTAATCCTTTTACACACATTAACTAACAGAACTTCCCAAGACAAATCCAAGGAAGTTAAATACATAGGACTACTCTGATCTTACAGCTGGGAAAACTGAGGCATAGAGGTTCAGTGACTTACCCAAGGCCACAGAGGGAGTCACTGTCAGAGCCAGGATTAGAGCTCAGGAGTTTCTGGCTCCTAGTCCCATGCTCAGACCACTAGACCATGGCCTCAGGACATTTCCAGCTGGTCTTCAGTCTAAAAAAAAGTAAATTCTCAAATCCAAATGTAACATGCAGATAGATAGATACTTTGAAAAAAGCTTGAATGTAATGGTATGAGTAAGAACACTAGGTTGGCAAATCCATGATGAAAAAGACAATACATTTTATCCAATCTACCTTAATTGTATATTTATATATAAAAAAGATCTGCAGAAAAAGTCTTCATTTATATTCCAGCCAATGCAAACAACTATAGAATTTCTCAGGGCAAGGGACAAATTACCTTTTCAACCCAGCCAGCATGTCATTTATATTAATGGTGAGGAATGTTAAGTTGCTCTGTGTGTAAGTAAACTCTATTAAGAAAGTCATGTCCCTTGGTGAAACTAGATCCTTAGTAAATTTTACTAGCTAAACACTGAGCTCCACGTCAGAGTAATTATACCTTTTATCCACTGTGAGCTCTCTTTTAGCTTCTTTATACTCCTTAATTTCCCACTTCAGCTAATTTAGCAGTAAAATCACAGAGGTTTACAAAGGTTAGCAACTGAGGAACTGGCGCATGAATGTTCTGTTAAGCTCCATGCACTGAAATCACATCATGTAAAAGAAGGAATTAATTAAGTAACAATTAAGTAGTGATGGATCATTGACAACATATATACACTTTGGTGCTAAAATTAATCTCCCCTGTAAAGGCAATAGATTGTGTATCTTCTCATTTATACACTAGCAAGTTTCATGCTTGAAATGTAAAAGGCCAGGCTTCACAAGAGTATCTCGTGGAAAAGGTATATTATGGCACTATTAAGATTATGTATTCTTTCTTTTGGGAAAAAGGTCAATTCATTTTTAAAAGATTCAGAGTTACATTACTGGAAATCTCTAAAGCAGTATTCACATTTCCACGGCAAGTGATTTAAAGATGACCACAGAGGCACTTTTAAAATAAAAATATTAGGGTATAACAGATGCAGTGGCCTATTCCTATAGTATCTCCTTTCTCCAGTTGCCATACTGCTTCCCTGTATTAACATATACTGGCAGCTGGCCCAGTTAATCTTCAATTCTAGAAGCCTCTTACCAGATGAAAAATCCTTGGTTCATTCACACCTTGTAGAAAGGATGACAGGGCATAAGTGACATCCAGATCCATTTAGAATATACTTTCTGTCTGATTTTCCCTTGCCTTGCACCTTCAGTAGTCATTTATAGCTGTACAATGTGAGCACAAAATGTACATTAAATGCTGCCAGACGTGTGAGCAGAGAATGCTGATTTGGTTGCATTATTTTGCACAGGTGACTACACAAAGTTCCAGGCGGTGAAAAATCAAGCCCCATTTATCTAGGTTAAACTGTTTTTGAAATAAAACATGTTTTATAAAAAAAAAACAAATTGGCTGCAAAGTTACTGGGACAGCATGCTGCTTTCTAGATATTTAGCACATAAAGTATTACATATTAAACTAATTCATGACAAGCATGTCTTATTTCTGCTTCGTTTTGGTAAAACACTGCTGCATTTCTCCATATTAGGGCATATTTTATATGTATTTTCTATATCCTCAACTTCATTCTATCTTTTCCCATGCTTCTAAACCTGCCATGCTGGTATCTTACACAAGTGCCTATAATGCTATATATGTGCACTAACAACAAGAATTAATGCTAGAGTTACTGTTTTCTCAGGTGCTAGCCCCAGTCCATCAGCATTCAATGCTGTTCTGCTTTCCTGTTTTAGTATGTGTAAAACAGTATGTTATTAACCTCTACAATTTTTCCAAATATATTCTATTATAGAAATGTAGCTCTCTGATAGTGAAAGATGAATTCCAGATTATCTTCCAGTTTTCAACCTGTAGATGCTTACACAAATTATTTTAGGGCTGCAAATTTAAGACCTGATTTGCTCCAGTTGAAGCATATGGAAAAACACCTATTTATTTTCAAAGGAGGGTTATACCCTTAATAGGCAATATTTGCTCTTTATACATTTGGAGATTAATTTAACATCTTTCCTGATGAATATTTCTAAGACTGTTTATAGCGCACTGCTACACACATATTTTTCACTAAGGAATAATATGGCCATGGCAACTAAGACCGGCTAATAAGGAACAGAAACATTAGATATTTTATTGCACCAAGAAGCACATAACACTACCTAGGAATATTGCAACAGTAGATGTTGTCTATTGGTGTTTCCATAATACTCTTTTCTTATATTAGAATTATTATGACAGTTATCAGGTTATCCAAGATCAAGACTCTGGCTCTCTTGCTGGCTTTCAGACACTTTCCTGGCATATCAAACCATGTTTCCTAAGAACAAATGAACGTTCTTTTATTACTCAATTATTGTAAAGTGCCATTTTCTCTAGCTCTACAGTTTCTTAGAATATCCTCAGAGGTTAGTTTGAATGGACAGAAAAGAGGGGTGTGTGTGTGTGTGTGTGTGTGTGCGTGTGTGTGTGCGCGCGCGCGCACGCCTGCACGCTGGTACATGTAAGTGGCATGGGTGTCCACAGCTATTGTACGCTATTTTAAGATAGGTCACACCACAGGCCAAATCGGGGCAATTCAAGAATAATGGAACTGTAATTTCCTCCCTTATAGAAGCTTTCTTCTTTTCAGCACAGAGTGCACCTTGACGCAGGAGAGAATCTGTTTAATGAGGCTTTGCCCAGCACTAACGTCATTTCCCAAATATGGAGTCTGATTGTAATCTTTATGCTGGTTTAAATATAGAATAATTCCATTAAAGTCAATACAATTAAATAGTTGCCCAACAAGTATGAGATCAGAATTGGCCCCCTGGTATCAGATCTGAAAGAGCCCCTGAAGCAATCTGATAGAGATAAATCATAAGTTGTGCCTACTTTTCAAGCATTTCATTGAAATAAACAATGATGATGGATGGAAATGTTTCATTGTACACAGGCAAGTTGCTTTGCCTCAAGTACAGAAAATACTGCTAGATTAATGACACTTTGAAAAATATTGTCAGAATTCCAAAGATACCATATAAAGTCTGCCTGCCCTTGAGGGCTGATGCTACTGTTTGAAGGCATATTTCCCTCCATTACATTTTTATGTCATCATTACAAAAATTAAATGAAAATTATCTAAAGGAAAATAAGATTAAAAGTTCTGACTTGGGAGACTCAGAGTTAAGGCTGTAACACTGCTCATAATTCACCTTGCCATGTCTAACCACTTCAAGTCCAGAATGAAAAAATCACTGGTTTTCCTTTCCTATTCTTAACACCAAATGATATTCTTGAAGTTTGATGCAAAACTAAAAAATGGCGATCATGTAGATTTTGCCAAATTCTGCCAGATTATGAACCATTAAAAGTTTTGGTCTAGAGTCTCCTCATCTCTCTGCAGACAGTAAAGATAGGTAGGGGATCATATTGATAGGCCTGCTCTACCCCTGGCTAACTTCACTCTTTTGCAAGAAGAAGTTCTTCTTTCCAGAACTTTTAAGACAGCTTTTGGAAATAAATCTTGATGATGAGATATTTCTAAAATTTATCTTTATTAAAAAGCCCTATAAGCCTAACGAACATTAAAGAAAAAATATTTGTCATGGTGTAGCAGTCTGCAGAGAGAGCGTTGTTCTATTCTATTGGGCGGATACTTTTAAGTTTCTGAAGCAGAGGATTCTTTTGTGGAGTTGTAGGAAGTCCTATAACATCTTCTTGATGTACTACAAGGCCCAGAAGCCATTGCTGATATGTGCATAGTCAGCCTCAATATATTTTCTTAAAACAAATGTTCTAAAACGCTACAGGACAGCACACCAGGGAGTTGAAATGAACAGAATGGACAAGCTAGAACTGAAAGGTCAGATGACCATAAAAGAAAGTCTTTACTGTTTTGCAGTGTTTAGGTCTCACTCCTTTTCCTTTGGGCAGGTGAAGATTTGTCTGTTAAACTGCCTTCCTACTGTAGTGGAAAAGCCAAAACTACTTTTCTTTTTCAAATAAAATACTTATTTTTGCCCTACTAGATCACCCGTGAGCATTTTTACATTCTATTCCAGCCAAAGTACAAGAATGAATGCAGGGTGAAATCAAGGTGAAGAGATAGTCTTTGGGTTGAATTTATTTGCTGCCTGAATTTATGGTTCCTTTTAAGCAAAATGCTGACTTTTTCCCCCTCACTTTCCCTGTCTACATGCACATGTTCAAGAGGACGGGCAGGTATCGCAGTTTAAATACATGTTCACTGAATTACTAATGGATGTCTAACAATGCACACTGAAACTAGATTTGGTATCTCACCCTTTGGCCTTTAGAAGCGACAGTTGAAGAGGACCACAAGGAATCTGGGAAAAGAAGAGAAGCTTACCGTGGTTGTCTTTATCCGTCCACCAGGTTGTGTACAGGTCCAGCCTGATTTATTGATTAGCAAATCACAGCCTTCTCCTTCTAAACATGGAAGCATTTCACACCACTGTTTTGTTTTAATAATTCGTGCTGTAGGAAAAAAAAAAAAGACAGTTGGCAGGAAGATTCACATTTCACTTCTCTTTGAACACAGACATTAGAGAAGCTTATTTCCATCATCAGATAATGTAGCCATAGGTTATGACACAGACAGCCCCAGCCAATTTACCAAATTATTTATAGCACTTTCAGTGCCAACCAATTTTACAATAACAACAGAATTTAAAAGACAACATGAAAACTAAATAATGACCTCCTTCATTCCTAAAAGAAGGAAAAGGTACAGCCAGAGGTAACTTTGCAATAATGTACTCCTCAAAGTCCATGATGTAGTAGGAGGAGCTGTAGTTAAAGCATTCTGCTTCTTCTTTATTCATCACACCTATTTAGTAGTTTCTTAAGACCAACACAGAACTGGGCCCGAGTAGACTAGATACTGTTCAAACATGGAGAACATGAAGCTTCTGCTCTGAAGACTTACAGTCTAACTAGAAAAGACATATGCAAGTGGAAGGAAGTCATACAACACAGAAGCAAAGCGAATTATGCCACAACAGCATATGATGCGGGTTTTTGCCATTCTTTTTTTCTGTCTTTTCTTTAAAGGTGGGATTAGGCAGACTAGGCCAAGTAGAAAGAAGAGGGAAGGAAAGGCAGGATGGGGAGGGGCAGGGTAAGAGAAAGAAGAAATGTGGCAGGACACTGAGGACAAGAGACTTGGGTAATGTGTGAGGCACAAATGCTGAACCAAACAGCTAGTCACATAGAGTAGAGAAAAATCCCATAAAAAATGAAGTTTTCTGACTGTCCCAATGACTAGGATATGGCTCTTTGTGAAGCTTCTGCTACTGGATAGAGTTTCTGATGCAGTCCTGTTCGCAGCTTTCCCTAAAGGAAACTGCCAGGTGGCCTTAAAACAAGAGAGGGAGCTCTCACTGGGTGAAATAAAGAGGAGGCAACCCTGTAGGGGAACACTGCATCTTCAGGCAGGAAGCAAACAGGGACTACTAATCCCTTAACTTCTACTATGCATCTTCATTGCATGTTCACTACATGTTCACCACTGCAAATCTGTGTCTTGTACTAGGTCATTAAGAAATATTTGTTTTTGTTTTGACATCCTCTTTTTGGAAAGTAGAGGTGCACCTCTCCCTTATGCACTGTTAGTGGGGAGTTTGTTTGGGATATTTAAAAAAATACAGAAACACAGTTTGTTAGAGAAAGCGAAATCAAGGAAACACATCTTGCACTTAAGAACAAAGGGCCATCACAAACTTCACCCCCTTCTACTCTACAGGAGTTCATGCCACAGTCTCAAGCCAGCCCCAGAGAAAGTTCTGTCTCCATCCCTTGCACAAATGTCTGCTTGGGCAATGGGCAGAACAAATCACATTGTCAACACTCTGGAACAGAGACAGTGCCTTCCTGTATTCTCCTTCTTACAGAACATCTTCTCAGTGGATAAGCAGAGCCAAGCAGCATTAAAAAGTAAGAGCTCAAAAAGGACTACTGGAAATAATCTAAAAAAATTAGGTAAAGCAAGATCTGCAGTGAGTGCAAGTAGCTAGGAAGTGAATTGCTAAACTGCTTCTATGTCTTGACCACTTGAAGGCAAATTCCCAATACCACAAAACAATAATAAGAATTAAAGCTACAATGAACAATCTTTTAATGAAATTTGAGCTAGCATTCTGATGTAATAAACCAGGTCTCTAAATACTTTGGCATCCAAACTGATCACATGTACCCTTGTTTGAAGGTTCAGGACCAAAATGGGATCTGCAAAATTAACTTAGGATATCTGCAGACATTCATTGTAGCCAATCTATGATCAAGTGGCTTACTTTAACCAACATGGCCATAGATTGGGAATGGCATGTGCATGTTTGCCAGTGTGTGGAGCCATGCCAGGTACCCAAAGTAAGTTGGAGTGGGGAGAGACGAAAGCTGTATCTGGGTTTTAGCAGGTCTGTGGTGGCTGGTGGGATTGCAGAGAATTGGCAGGTTTGCAAGGGTGGTTGGTAGATCCACAGTGGGGTGGCAGTTAGGTGTCTGCCTGGGAGTGGAGGTCAGGATGCCAAAAATAGCATGGTCAGGTTGTGTGTATGTGGGGGGGCGGGGCGCTAGGAAGAACAAGAACATGGCCTTTTTTTGCTCAATCTAATCTCCCTCAACATCTGTACAGATGGGCACTTAGATCAACCTAACTTTAGCTAGGGTGATCTAAACCAGTGGTCTCCAACTTTTTTATGGTGAAGATAGGCACCATAAGTAAAGGGCACCCCAGGATCTACTGCCCCCTGCCCCCCACTTCTCAGACAAGGCACCCAGGTTCTGATCCAACTCACCCAGCCTGGCCCAGGTGGCAGGGGGCGTGGCTCATCCCAGCCATGGGCATCTTGCTGCTCTCAATCGTGCAGCTTCTGACAGGCTGAGATCGACTTTCAGAGGCTCCATGATTGACCAGTTGATTGAGATCGACTGATTGGTGACCACTGATCTAAGCATAATGTCTGCATATACCCTCAGTTTTCACCTCTGCTTCACAGTCTGCCAACTAAAGCAGAGTCCTGCCGTTCCATTTCACACCACTAATGGCACTCTTTACATGGAATGCAGAACAATATATTTATCAGGGTATCAAGTATCATCATTAATAATTAAACTTGAATAACACTAGTCGAGATAAATGAATAATGTGTATTGCCTGAGAGAGTATCTGCATTTTTATTGTGTTTGTTCACTAAAAGTGAAAGTCAGCCCTCTGCCAGAGAATGGGCAAAAACCTTTCAACCTCTTATATCCCACTCAAGCCCTATTATACAGTCATAAGTGGCACTTAAGTGATGCACAGGCTTTGTGTTGGCCTTCTATACAGGGCTGATTTTCATCCTAAGAGTCTGATCCTGTGAACTGCTTTGCATCTCCTAAGTGCTGCATCCCAAGTGCTGCATCCCTTGACCTCACTGAAGCTAACAGGAATTGAGGATGCTTAGCACCTTGTAGAATTATACTCTTAGAAACTATAAGAGGAATCACACCTATACGATACCAAGTATCTCTGATTTGATTTGCAAAATTCAGCAGTTTGCAATGGATCTTCTAGCTATTTGTATGAAGGGTATGATCTTTCTGCATATTATGGATTAAAGTAGCTTCAGTAGAAAAAAAATGTTTGAAAAGATTACAAATTATTTTAAAATTATTTCTTTCCAAATGCTGAAACTAAAGGCGGTGATGACAATCATAATTACAGTTCTAACCTTGCTTGCCAGATTATATATGCCTCCCTATAAAACAGCAGTTTTCTTTTCTGTATTTCCTTTACTCATATGCTTGTTATTTATTTAGACAATTGCCAAATGCTGCATCTCTAGTAAATCTCCCAACTAGAAAACATCATCTCTTTGTAGCAGGAAAAAAACCAAAAACCTGTAAGATATACCTGGTCCAACAGCAACAAACGCAAAATGTTATAGCTATCTAAAAAGATATGGAATTAATAGAATCACAGAATCAATGAGTCGGAAGGGACCTAAACAGATCATCTAGTCCGACCCCCTGCCATGGGCAGGAAGGAGCACTGGGGGTGGCAGGGGGTCGGACTAGATGATCTGTCTAGGTCCCTTCCGACTCATTGATTCTATGATTCTATGATTTGTTTGTTCACAAATAAAATACAAATAGAAAGAGCTCAACAAATGTTATTAACAACTTCTGAGAAAGTAACTGAAAAACAGGAAAAAAGAAAATAAAATGGTATTAACATTTTTAATAAATAATATCAGTCATGCATAAAAAAAAAAAGAAGCACTAGGATACAGAGATTGCCATTGCAGATCACAGGGATAGCCCTTCAGCCTGTCATAATGGCATATGATCCATTCACATGAAATGAATAATCATATGATATTATGACAGACCTGGTATGAGAACCCAATTGGAGTAAAGAGATAGAATTGTCTTATATTTTGTCTTTGTCACCAATTCTAGATACTGTAGATAAAGGCAGAAGAATCCTGTAACACAGCGTGGGCCATCCATTTTGACAGGTAGACCCTCCCCTCATTATCCTTCCACAGTGTGGGCCATCCATTTTGACCACAAGTCAAGTCCCATGCCCTCCCTAAGGCTAGGGAGGGACATTACACATAAACAGGTTTAAGTGATCAGAAATTGATTTAATAGATTTCATAGACATTAGGGTTGGAAGGGACCTCAGAAGATCATCAAGTCCAGCCCCCAGATAAAATAAGTTCAGTGCACACAAACCAGTTTCAAATGACTGAAACTGGTTTAAGATACACTTGGTTGAATGTAGACTTAACTGATTTGAGGTGAAACCGGTTTATGCAATGTCTGTCCCAGACCCCTTCCTGGTTTAAGTTAAACCAGAGTCCCCCAGCATCCCAGGTGTTTTGCAGCCCTGGGCTGGGCTGTCTGCTCCAGGCAACAGGGCTGGCCACACCCCTCTACTCCCTAGCCAAAACTCCCGCAGAGACTGCAGGCACAGCAGGGTCTGCCTGGCTTCCCCCTAGCCCCCAGTCCTTGCCACTTGCTGCTCAAGCAGAGATCCCCCGCCTCCCTCCCATCTCCCACAGAATGGACCCCAGCCCCATGGACGCTAGCCATGTGGTATGCTAGCTAATGCTGAGAGGTGTCTGTGTGTGTGTCTCCAATTTCACTGAGACAGGCAGACAGAACAGTATCCACTTAGAGCTTTTTGGAGCTAATCAGTAGGTCAGCTAGTAATGTCCCTCCATTCCTTCCTTTGAGCAAGCTGTTTAAGAAGAGCTTGAAATAATGAGAGAGACTTTTGTTTTGTTACTGGGCTGATAAACACTATTATCAGCCCCCTGCTGGCTCTCTTGTCTGTCGGGTTTGCAGACAATATGAAGAAGCAGGGAGAGGGAGATTGAAAAGCTCAGTATTGTCACCAGGTGCATTCACTGCTCAACCCCCCTCCCTTGCCTCAGAGTCCTAGCTGGGGGCTGGGGCCTGGCAACACTCCCACCTGTTGAGCAAGTGGG